CACTGAGAATTTGAAGGCAGCCTGGACTACACATGGTGACCTTGTCTCAAAAGCCCCTCCCCCAAAAGACACAAAAAAACATGCCAAAGCAGTACCAGCAATGATCTTGTAGTAGTAGAGTAAAGGGTGACTGTTGCTTTCATTTTTATACCTACTTTGCAATATTTTAAAATTTTCTACAATGGCTGCTGCCAGTAATCCCACACTCTGGGAGGCTGAAGCAGAAGGATTTTGGTTTTGAGGGCAGCCTGGGCAACTTAGTAAGATCCTCTCTCAAAATAAAAAGAGCTGTAGATGTAGTTCAGGGATAGGGTGCCTCAGCTTTGATCTCCAGTATTACCAAAAAAAAAAGGGATTCAAGGAGCCCATGCTGTAGCTACAGTAGAACCATAAAGCTGTTTATCTGTTTGTTTGTTTGTTTTTTTTTTTTTTGGTTTTTTTGGTTTTTTTGGTTTTTCTCCGGTACCGGGAACCGAACTCACGACCTTGCGCTTGCCAGGCAGGCGCTTTTGCTGCTGAGCTAAATCCCCAGCCCCTGTTTGTTTGTTTTTTAGACAGGGTCTCGCTGTACAGTCCAGGCTAGTCTAATTGCGTAGCCTAGGCTGGCCTTGAGCTCATTGCAGTCCTCAGCCTGGCTGGCGCTGGGATTACAGGCATGCACCACCATGCCCAGCTTACAAAGTTGCTTGATAAGGACATCTTTTCAAGTCACACTGCGGTAAGCAAGAGGGGACTGCTGCCTGCAGAAGTCAATTCATTTATCCAGCAGCACAGACCAGCACTCATTAGACAGATTGCGGAGGGTATCTGCTCAGATGCCTGCTGCTGTTCTGGGAACGCAGGGGGCTGGAAACAGGAACCAGACAGCTGGTCTCCGTTCCCAGCCTCCCTCGCATCTGGGTATGGCCACGTGAGGAAGTCTCTCCCACAGGACAGGAGCTCTGTGCACAAAAATCCACCTCACTATTCCTCCGAGTCCAGAAACAGACCATTGCCCGGACCCAGAAGCACTTGTGCATCTTCTCCAGCTTCAGCCTTGTCTTAGTTCATTTCCTGTGCTATCACAAAAGGCGCGAGACTGGGTGTCTTAGAATGAATACAGGTTTTACCAGGCCTGGTGGTGCAGGCCTAGAATCTGAGCACTGTGGGAAGCTGAGGCAGGATGATCACACATTGGAGCCCAGCCTGGGCAACTTAATGACCCAGCCCAACAGTGTGGTGCCAACATCTGCTCAGCTATGGGGGGCAGGCGCCCTATACATCTATAATCTCCAGTCCCCAGAGAGCAGCAAAACTCACGTTCTGGAGAAAGGCGCTGTCTTAAGGTCTTAATCCATCTTAAGACCTGATCACCTCTTAACCCTAACCCAGCCCTGCCCAATGGCACCCAGTTACCACAAGGCTTGAAGGAGGCACAGCACCTCCCACCCGTGGGATCCTCTTCCCTCTCTGCCTTGAGAACTGCAGCCTGGCTTCTTACATGCTTTCCTTGGCTCTCCTCGAAAACGCATGGATGTGCACGTTGTGGAATGGCCCATGATGGGATCTGTACTTTCTTTCATGTTTTGCTACCACTCCTCATGCCAGTGAGATTTATCTATACTGTTGCCCAGAGCTGGAGTTTTTTTAGTTGTTTATTTATTAGTTGCAGTACCAGGGATTGAAGCCAGGGCCTTCACACTGATCTACATCCCAGCCCTGTTTTTATTTTTTACTTTGACACAGAGTCCTGTTAAATTGCTAAATTGCCCAGGCTAGGTTTGAACTTGTGATCCTCCTGCCTCAGCCTCACAGAGTGTGGGGTTACAGGCTTGCACCACCATACCCAGTTTAACATAACTTCTGTTTTCTAGAGTGATTATAATAGAATTGCTGGACTTCTTATATACTGGGTATCAGAATGGCTTTTGATCACCAATAGTAAGCATTTTTTTCTCATGCTTATTGCTTATTTTTTGTGTTCTCTCTTACAAGAAATGCCTGTCTATGCCTTTTACTTTTTCTAATGAGTTATCTTTTCTTATTATAGTTTTCTACATATTTTGGATTTCTCATTTGATTGTTTTTCAAGACAGGCTCTCACTGCGTTGTCCAGCTAGCCTTGAACTCACTATGTAGCCCAATCTGATCTTGAACTCATGATCCTCCTGCCTCAGCCTCTCCAGTGCTGGGATTACAGGGCTGCACCACCACACCTGGCTCCAAAAGTTATTCTTTTGTGTGTTCTGAAAGCTTTCCATGTTTTTTTCAGTTTGAAGTCTTTAATTCATGTAGAAATGCCTTTTCTGCATGGTGTGAGGTAGGGCTCCAGTTGCACTGCTGTTTGGATAACCAGTTGTGTCAGTACCATATATTTAATTTACATCCCTCCCTAGGTTGATCAGCAATGCCACTTTTGTCAACAATCCCAAGCCTTTATATGCACAGATCTGTTTCAGACCTCTCCTTTCTGCTCTTTTGATCTGTTTGCCTAGCCCTGCACCAAAGCACATTGTCCTGACCCCAGCAGCTTTATAATAACTGTGTTTCTCAGTATAGACTAACCATCTGGATGGCCAGGCGGTTCCTGACAACCAGGGCTCTGTTTTAGAATCATCCACTGAGAAACCTGCTCTGAGCGGGAGAGGAACCCGTGCCGTGTCACACAGCGCTGGTGTTAACTTTTCGTCACTGTAACAATGTACCAGAGATAAACAACCTCAAGTGCAGAAGGATTTGGGCCCACAGTTTCCAGGGTTTCAGCCCACGATCGGCTGGCTCCATTGATTCTAGGTCTGTGGTGAGGAAATCATGGTGGGGGGGTCATGGCAGGGCGAAGCTGTCCAGTCAGTGGTGACCAAGAAGCGGGGACAGACAGGGAGGGAGTCAGACACTCAGGGCAGGGACAAGATACAGTGCCCAAAGCCCTGTCCCCATGACCAGTGCCCTAAACTGCTGTGGTCTCCCAATAGCCTCAAACTCATGGTGCTCCTCCTGCCTCAGCCTCCTGAGTGCTGGGATTACTGGTGTAGGCCACCACATCCAGCCTGAACACTTCTCAGAGCTCCATCTCTGCACACGCAGTGACACCTGTGGCTTGCGTATTTCTAATGGACAGCACTGGGTTATAGCGTTAAGAAGTCTTTATTAAGGACCTAACTTGCAGACTGCACCGTAGTAAGGGCTACATGAGTAATAGCAAGGGAACAGAAATAGCTCCAATTAATGCAGGCCATTTCCTCATTGGGCCCACTGTTCATAGAAACTGCCTCAGCCCCAGGACTCCGAGAAGGAGCCCATGATCCAGTGCCAACCCCTCTTTTCCAGTCATAGAGGAGGCAGCACCGGAACTCCAATCTAGAGTTCATTTGGACCAACTCTGCTGTCCTTACGGGTCAGACAGCTGAGGTCCAGACAGGCTGAGACAGCTACCCAAGATCACACAGCAGGCAGTGGCTCATTGCTTGTGCTTCAGAGCTCCTCCCCTGCATGCCTACGTCCACAGGAAACTTTGGCCCTGGGCTTCTCCCCTCCCACAGAACAAGCCACAACTTTTGTGTCCAGGCGGCACTTGGGACTCTTGAGAACCTGCCTTTGAAAGACCAAGCCCACCCCAGAGAAGATGGATTTGTGCAGCCAGCCAGAGTCAAACGCTCAGGAGTCGCCGCAAGCCCATCCCGTGGGCATCGGCTCTCTGGGCGGGCTCCCAGCTTAATGAAGGATGCACTCCCAACTCTCCCGGGGGAGACACACGCTGGGACTGAGGACAAAGGGCTCAGCCTCACCCTGCACCCTGACACGCTGGCCCGGAGTCACTCTGACAGGACGTTCTGGGTGCCAGGGACTCTTGACACCCACCTGGAGATGAATGTGAACTGCGGTACTGGCAGCTCCCGGGTCAGTATGCATGTGCCCTGAGCAGGAGGACTGAGACCCGGAGCCAGAAAGGGTGATGGGGACAGGGCTGGCTATAGTCTGCGAGGGACTTCTCTTTTCTTTTCATTTCATTTCTTTGCTTTTCTTTTTGAGACAGAGTCTTGCTGTGTAGCTCAGGCTGGCCTTGAATTCACTATGTAGTCCAGCCTGACATGGAACTTGAAAGGACCTCCTGCCTCAGCCTCCCAAGTGCTGGGATTACAGGACTGCCATGCTGGCCCAGCAGGGACTTTAGAACAGGGTTCCTATGTCAGCTTTCAGGGAAATGCGTCCTCAACAAAACCTTAGGTGGGTATGGTGGTGCAAGACTGCAATCTCAGTATGTGGGAGGCTGAGGCAGGAGGATTACTGTGAATTACCAGCCAGCCTGGGCTGCTCAGTGAATTCAAGGCCAACCTGAACTGCACAGTGAGACCTGTCTCAAAACAACACTTAGAGCAATTTAATCAGTTGCAGCCACCACCCTCACCGAAGTCCAGTTGGGGGAGCATCTACCCTCCCTACATTACAGAAAATACTGAGGCTCAGTGTGGACCTGGGAGCTTACACCGTGAGAAGACCAGGCTGTACCAACAGCTCCTCCTGCGTCCTGGGCCTCAGTTTTCCCCCTAAATAGTGCACCTACCCACCCCTCCTTCTTGCTGTGTGGACCGGAACAGGGCGTTCTCAAACCTTCTTTACCACGAGCAGAGATGGAAGGAGCGGTCCCCAAGCCCCCAGGGCAAAGGCCTCTAGGCAAGGATGATCCCACTGATAGTCCTCATGGGGCCCCTGGGGACTGGGACTCGTGATCTCTGCTTTGCACGCGTGGAAAGTGAGGTTCGGGGAAGTGGAGAGACGTGCCCAGGGGTACCCGGCTGACAGGAGGTGTGGAATGGGCGCGCAGCTCCAGAGTCCGGGATGCAAAAGCGGGGGTAGTGGGGCGGGGAGCCGAGATGAATCCATCTGGAAGGCGACGTTGTCTTGCTTCTGGCTTTTCTTGACCGGGGCAGAGCCTCCATCTATCCACCCCGATCTCCAAGCAGCCGAGACAGGCGCGCCCCGCCCGCGCACCCGAGCGCCCCGCGCACCCCGCGCCCGCTCACCTCGCGTACTTCGTCTTTTGGAAATCGAGCAGCCTGGGCGCGAACATCGTCGCGGTTCCATGGGCGCCCGCGCTGGGCTCGGCTCGCCTGGGACGCGGGGAACTTGGGGACCGCAGGTGGGTGGCCCACGGGGAATGGGGCCGAGCGGAGCCGGGGGTCGGGG